CAGAGAACATTTCTTCCTTTCTTGCCTCTTTCCACTGTCAGGTAGAGGAACTGGAATATTCCACGTATGGCTGTCAAATGGTATTTTGCTTTCGAAAGAACCCATACTTCCACAATGCAGAGATCATTAAGGAGTATCACCTGAGCCTCACTGGTCAGAAGTGTCTCTGTGGATTTGGGGGGTAGGTGTTTGTTTTGGAGGCAAGGCCAAAGCTGGTTCATGCCTACATTTTCGTCTTCCAGCAGGATACAGGGCAACATTTTCCAGTAAAATCCAGTGGTTCTGGGATGATGAAGTTGAAGGCCCTTGCCCCACGGAGGACACCGTCAGCCTGAGCTTCTTCAACTTGTTGTGTGAGCACAACTGCCCAGGGCCAGACAGGATTGCTGAGGTGAGGACCCTGTGGGCATCATGAGAAATGACGTGATATGTGGGTAAGCAGCGGGGATTCCTGTGTTCTGGGAATGGGGTATGAAGGATGATCTGAGTTTTCCTAGTTCCCCCACCAGATTATCATCGAGGACCTGTGGCTTAATCCACTGAAGTACTACCCCAGAGACGAAGACAACTTGAGAGGAAACGTAGAGGAGGCCAGGTGAGCAGCCCGAATGTGGGGCTGAATGTGTGCATGTGGGGTACCTGGGATGTAGATGGAGAACCTGAGGGTCCGGGATCACCACAGTGACCACAACGTGGTCATCCAGGGAGTAAGAGCGGTAGGAGCTCATGGGAAACATAATGGCAGCAGCTTCAGAGCAGTTGTGCTTAATCCAGCTAGGCTGCCTGCCACGTCCATAGTCCCTGGAGAAGAGGCCAGGCTCAGACAGTAACGTTGTTCCTATTAATTTTCATTACAGGGCTCCCGTTCACCCCCACCCAACATCAGGCCTCCTGTGGTCCACTGAGTTGGGGCCCACCTAGGTCACTCTCTCGCCTTCCACTCAGATGTGCACGTTTTCTTGTACAATTGCTCTTTCCTGTGCCTCCTTTGACTATGGTGATAATTTGAGCAGGCTGTGAGTTTTCATTTCAATCCCCAGATTGCCACAACCATGCAGTCTGTGTACAGGGCAAGGGTACAGGGCCTCTAAGGATCCCACTGGCTTTTATGGGAGCGACTTTGGGAAGAATCCTAAAAGGGTAAGGGATGGAGTGTACCGGAAGGTGTCTGAGAACTGACAGTATGTGCAGTACTGGTCAGAGACACACAGTTTCACGTCTCTCTCTGTGCGTACGTGTGTGTGTTAACGAACCCCAGCTCTACAGAAGCAGAGGACTAAGGAGGAACTTTTGGGAGCCGTGGACTTTTCTCAGCCCGAGAGACTCTCCTCACTCCTTTTAACCTTCCTCCTACCGGGTCCAGGACCCCCCGCTGTCCATCAAAACCCTAGCGTGCTAGGTCCCTCTGGCTTCCGGCACTGTTGCCTCTGGTAAGCGAGGGTCTAGGTGATGACCTACACCACCTTCCTTCCTGGGTTCTTCCTTGAACCCACCTCCTGGGAATGGCATAACTCATTGGGGACTCCCTCTGAGTTCCGTCCTTCTCATCTGGCCGTAGGGCTCATTCTAATCCTCCTTTTAAACTCTCTCTCTCTCTCTAATCCTCTTCAGAATGGGAGCCTCTTCCTTCTCCCTCCGGGGTGATTCACCCTTACAATGTCTCTTAAGCAACCTCACCACCGTATCCCTCAAGCCTGACATTAAACCCAAATTCCTCACCAAATTTTGCACACAAGATTGGCCTTATTATCCCTTAGATAACCAAAATAAGTGGCCCCCTGAGGGCACACTTGATCTTTTCATTCTTCGGGACCTTGTTAACTACTGCCAGCACCTGAGAAAGTGGAAAAAGATTTCATATGTGGAGGCTTTCCGCCTGCTTGCCCAAAATCCCTCTCTCTGTCTCACCTGCTCTCCTTCCCAGGTTCTCCTTGCTTCCAAACCCCCTCCATCCTCACTGCCTCCACTACCCCCTACTTCTGATAATTTTGACCCTGCGGATGAACGCCCCCCCCCCCATTCAGGTCTCCTTCTCCTGTAACTTCCTCTGCTTCCCCTCCAAAACAATCCCAACCCCCTCAGTTAACTCCGCTCCATCTGCCTCCTGCGCCTGGCTGGCCGGCCAGCAAACAGCCCTGGTCTCCGGGACAACCGCTGCAGGGTGAGGACCCACGTAGTCAGTCTATTCTCCCTCCTACCTCCTCCTCCCTTGTTTCTTCTAGCCCCACCTTGCCGCTATCTTGTTCCCTGCTGACTCCCATTTCACCTGCCCTGGCGCCTTCTTAAGCCCCCCCCTGTAACTCATTACCGAGGACTCCTCCCCTCCTCCACCGTGGCTCCTCTCTGTGAGGTGGCNCCGTCAGCCTGAGCTTCTTCGACTGGTTGTGTGAGCACAACTGCCCAGGGCCAGACAGGATTGCTGAGGGGAGGCCCCTGTGGGCATCATGAGAAATGACGTGATGTGCGGGTAAGGAGCGGGGATTCCTGTGTTCTGGGAATGGGGTTTGAAGGGTGATCTGAGTTTTCCTAGTTCTCCCACCAGATTATCATCGAGGACCTGTGGCTTAATCCACTGAAGTTCTACCCCAGGGAGGAAGACAACTTGAGAGGAAACGTAGAGGAGGCCAGGTTAGCAGGCCGAATGTGGGGCTGAATGTGTACATGTGGGTTATATGGGATGCAGATGGAGAACCTGAGGGTCCGGGATGACCACAGTGACCACAATGTGATCATCCAGGGAGTAAGAGCGGTAGGATCTCATGGGAAACGTAATGGCAACAGCTTAGGAGCTGGCGAGCTTAAGCCAGCTAGGCCACCTGCCACGTCCATAGTCCATGGAGAAGAAGACAGGCTCAGACAGAAACGATGTTCCTTTTAATTTTCGTTGCCGTGCTCCGCTTCAGCCCCACCCAACCTCAGGCCTCCTGAGGTCCACTGAGTTGGAGCCCACCTAGGTCACTCTCTCGCCTTCCACTCAGACGTGCACGGGTTCTTGTACAATTGCTCTTTCCTGTGCCTCCTTTGACTATGGTGATAATTTGAGCAGGCTGTGAGTTTTCATTTCAATCCCCAGATTGCCACAACCATGCAGTCTCTGTACAGGGCAAGGGTACAGGGCCTGTAAGGATCCCACTTGCTTTTATGGGAGAGACTTTGACAAGAATCCTAAAAGGGCAAGGGATTGAGTGTACCTTAAGGGGGCCTGAGAACTGACAGTATGTGCAGTACTGGTCAGAGACACACACTTTCATGTCTTTCTGTGTGCGTGCGTGTGCATTTTAACGATCTCCAGGTCTTCAGAAGCAGAGGACTAAGGAGGATAGTTTGGGTGCCGTGGACATTTCTCAGCCTGCGAGATGAGTTACGAATGGCTTGCAAAAGATACCGCACATCGAGAAGATGGCGATGGTCTGGAATGGCACCCAGGAACAAATAAATACTAAAAGACTGCATGGGTCTTCTGTATGCTTGTTTGGGGAAGCGAATGGATCTGGTGAATAGATGAAACTAGAGTGGGCTGTTGAATTGGGTGCCTGGGAATCCCTGTGTAAGAGCGTGTCTGGAAAGTGGCCTGGGAGAGTGGACGAGGTGGGCATAGCCCCAGCTGAGCACTGTCGAGGCCAGAATTCCAGCAAATGGGGCGGGAGGCAGGGAATACGGGGAGAGAACAGGACAGGCTACTAAACCGGAGACCCTCCACGTGGAGAGGCCAAGGAATGAAAGAACAAGTGTGGTGAGCAGGGGTGTAAGTGACTGGTCACACCTTGTTTAGTGTGCAGTATTCGTGCTTGAGCTTCACTCAGCATCTTTAGGATCACTCGCCGATCCACACGGATTAGAAGGCACATACATGCAGGCTCCCTTCGGGACTACGTACCAAGCCCACAGGAGCAAGGTGCTCAGACAGGAGGCTGGATATGCAGGTAGGAGTCATCTTCAGGGAGAGCACTAGGGTGTCAGGCATAAGGTAAGTGATGCTGGGATTCTGACTATAGAGATTAGGGAAAATAGGGCAGTGCCNAAACGTGTATTGGCCACTTGATCGCTGGACTGGAAGTTTTTAAAAGCAGCCAATGATTCTTGTTCACAGTTGCATCCCCTAGTACCTTGAGCTGGTTCGTTACGGGATTGTTGGTTCAGTGAATAACATGTTCTTGTATCTGACACAAGAGCAAACGAATGAAAGCTATCATCAAAGAACCGACAATGTGAGGGGCAAACAGCCTCACAAATAGCTGAGCATCATACCTTTACTATAGATTTTCATTTATAAGTGACAAACCACAGAAATAGAGAGGAGGAAGCCATTGATCCTTCTTTGGCGGTTGAGGCAGTCCATGCTGCCAGATGGGTGAACAGGAGTTTGTCAGTGAGAAGGGAGGAAGGAGACAGCTGCCCGGGTAGAGCCTTGCATGGAAGCCTGAGAGTAAGAGAACAGCTCAGGGAACAAGGAAGTGCCTGTTGTAGCTTGAGCCCAAGATTTGCAAAGGGATGGGGCTCTAAGTGAAATAAAATTAAAGGAAATAATCTGAATTTGAAAGTTCTTGAGGCTATGCCCTTTTTACTCAACAGAGAGCCACTATATCATAAATGGGGGAGCCTAGATGTAGCAAGCCAATCATAGGTTATGGATATAATTCAGACAAGACACCACTCATGTTTTTTTTTTTTTCCTTTTTGTCTTCTTTACTGACAGGTAACGGGATCGCAACCCTTGGTGTCGCGCCCGCACCGCGCTCAGCCAGTGAGTGGGAACCGGTCTCCACATGGTATCCGAACCCTCGGTGGGAGTGCTGCCGCGCTCCCAAGCAGCGCACTCTCCAGTGCGCCACCAGGCCGGCCCAGCCTGAACTTCTTTAACTGGTTGTGTGACCACAACTGCCCAGGGCCAGACAGGATTGCTGAGGTGAGGCCCCTGTGGGCATCATGAGAAATGACGTGATCTGCAAGTAAGGAGCGGGGATTCCTGTGTTCTGGGAATGGGGTATGAAGGGTGATTTGAGTTTTCCTAGTTCCCCCACCAGATTATCATCGAGGAACTGTGGCTTAATCCACTGAAGTACTACCCCAGGGAGGAAGACAACTTGAGAGGAAACGTAGAGGAGGCCAGGTGAGCAGCCCGAATGTGGGGCTGAATGTGTGCATGTGGGTTACCTGAGATGCAAATGGAGTACCTGAGGCTCCGGGATCACCACAGTGACCACAACGTGGTCATGCAGGGTGTGGGAGCAGTAGGAGCTCATGGGAAATGTAATGGCAGCAGCTGAGGAGCAGGTGAGCTTAAGCCAGCTAGGCCACCTGCCACGTCCATAGTCCCTAAAGAAGAAGCCAGGCTCAGACAGAAATGATGTTCCTTTTAATTTTCATTGCAGGGCTCCGCCTCAGCCCCATACAAACTCAAGCCTCCTGAGGTCCACTGAGTTGGGGCCCACCTAGGTCACTCTCTCGCCTTCCACTCAGACGTGCACGGGTTCTTGTACAATTGCTCTTTCCTGTGCCTCCTTTGACTATGGTGATAATTTGAGCAGGCTGTGAGTTTTCATTTCAATCCTCAGATTGCCATAACCATGCAGTCTCTGTACAGGGTAAGGGTACAGGGCAAGGGTACAGGGCCTCTAAGGATCCCACTTGCTTTTATGAGAGAGACTTTGAGAAGAATCCTAAAAGGGCAAGGGATTGAGTGTACCTTAAGGGGGCCTGAGAACTGAGAGTATGTGCAGTACTGGTCAGAGACACACACTTTCACGTCTTCCTGTGTGCGTGCGTGTGCGTTTTAACGATCTCCAGGTCTTCAGAAGCAGAGCACTAAGGAGGATCGTTTGGGAGCCGTGGACTTTTCTCAGCCCGCGAGAGGAGTTACGAATGGCTTGCGAGAGATACCGCACATCGAGAAGACGGCGATGGTCTGGAACGGCACCCAGGAACAAATAAATATTAAAAGACTGCATGGGTCTTCTGTGTGCTTGTTTGGGGAATCGAACGGATCTGGTGAATAGATGAAACCGGAGTGGGCTGTTGAATTGGCTGCCTGGGAATCCCTGTGTAAGAGCGTGTCTGGAAAGTGGCCTGGGAGAGTGGACGAGGTGGGCACAGCCCCAGCTGAGCACTGTCGAGGTCAGAATTCCAGCAAATGGGGCGGGAGGCAGGGAATACGGGGAGAGAACAGGACAGGCTACTAAACCGGAGACCTTCCACGTGGAGAGGCCAAGGAATCAAAGAACAAGTGTGGTGAGCAGGGGTGTAGGTGACTGGTCACACCTTGTTTAGTGTGCAGTATTCGTGCTTGAGCTTCACTCGGCATCTTTATTTTCACTCGCCGATCCACACGGATTAGAAGGCACATACATGCAGGCTCCCTTTGGGACTACGTACCAAGCCCACAGGAGCAATGTGCTCAGACAGGAGGCTGGATATGCAGGTAGGAGTCATCTACAGGGAGAGCACTAGGGTGTCGGGCATAAGGTAAGTGATGCTGGGATCCTGACTATAGAGATTAGGGAAAATAGGGCAGTGCCAGAAAGAAACACCGCCCCTCGTGACTGCTTGTGCCCCTGTGGATTCCTGTGTTACTCCAGGCTGGCTTCCACTAGAGGCGAATGGAGGCAGGCCAAGGTCACACTAGAGGGGATGGTGTAAAAGCCACATCAAAGATCCCTCCCCTCGTGTGCGTCTGCACCCGCCAATGGCAGAGGTGGCAAGTATGGTTCCCCCATCTTTGTTTCCAATAAGAAGGCTTAGGCCTTGGACCCAGGCCGCATGACTGGGAAACACAAGTGCCCTCCTCTATGAGTACTTTCTGCTCAGGAGACAGTCTACTGAGTCTCTGTCTTCCTCTGGGTAGGCTGGCCACCCACACACAGTACTTGGAACCCCAGCCCTTATGTGTTCTGAGGCCCTCCCAGCTTATGGGCTGAAGGACAATGGAAGTGATAGAGAACAGGGCAGGTACAGCAAAGGTCAAAAGCCTCACGTGCTTGGTGGCAAGCACCTCCTGAGTATGGCTCCTTCCCGACTGTGCTGCTGCTCCCTGGGAATACTTGAAACTGGCACTGAAGGTAAAGCGTGTATCCTGCCACACCTGGGGGTGGTGGGTCTCAATGTGTGCTTCAGATTTTT